CCCCAACCCTGGCCAACCCCAACATCCCGGAACACCCAAACTTCCCCATTCCCATTCCCATTCCCAATCCTTTGGGATGTGTCTGCCATCTGCTCCCAACATTCCCAACCCCTTCCTTTCCCAACATTCCCAACTCCTCCTTTCCCAAGCCCTTCCTTTTCCAGCATTCCCAACCCCTCCTTTCCCAAGCCCTTCCTTTCCCAACATCCCCAAACCCTCCTTTCCCAACATTCCCAACTCCTCCTTTCCCAAACTCCTCCTTCCCTAAAATCCTCAACCTCTCCTTCTCCCAACATTCCCAACTCCTCCTTTCCCAACATTCCCAACCCTCTATTTTCCCAAAATTCCCAACCTCCCCAATCCATCCTTTCCCAAAATTCCCAACCTCCACCTTTCCCAACCTCCCCTCCTCCAACATTCCCAACTCCTTCCATTCCCGACTCTATTTTCCCACCCCAACCCTGGCCAACCCCAACATCCCGGAACACCCAAACTTCCCCATTCCCATTCCCATTCCCAATCCTTTGGGATGTGTCTGCCATCTGCTCCCAACATTCCCAACCCCTTCCTTCCCCAACATTCCCAACCTCTTCTTCTCCAACATTCCCAACTCCTCATTTCCCAAACTCTTCCTTTCCCAATATTCCCAAGGCCTCCTTTCCCAAACTCCGCCTTCTCCAAATTTCCCAATCTCTCCTTTCCCAACATTCTCAACCCATTGTTTCCCAAGCCCCTCCTTCCCAAACATTCCCAAGCCCTCCACTCCCAGTATTCCCAACTCCTACCTTCCCCAACTCTTCTTTTCCCAACCCTTTCCTTTCCCAACCCCTTCCTTTCCCAACATTCCCAAACTCTCCTTTCCCAACACCCCCAGTCCATCCTTTCCCAACCCCTTCCTTCCCCAACATTCCCAAGCCCTTATTTCCCAAACTCTTCCTTCCCTAAAATCCCCAACCTCTCCTTCTCCCAACATTCCCAACTCCTCCTTTCCCAACCCCTTCCTTCCCCAACATTCCCAATCCATCCTTTCCCAACATTCCCAAACCCTTCTTTCCCAAACTCCTCCTTCCCCAACATTCCCAACCCCTCCTTCCCCAACATTCCCGACTCCCTCCATTCCCACCTCTATTTTCCCAATCCTCCCCCTGGCCAACCCCAACATCCCAGAACACCCAAACTTCCCCATTCCCATCCCCAATCCTTTGGGCCGTTTCCCAACCCCCGCACCCCATTCCCGGCCGGAATTTCCCGGGAATACTCACAGCCGCCAGCTTGTCGAAGCGGGCGAAGAGCTCGTTGAGGAGCTTGACGAGCTGCTGGGCGCTGCACGACGACGACAGCTGCGTGAACCCCACGATGTCCGCAAACAGGATGCTGCCGGAAAAACGGGAATGACGGAGCCAGATCCAGCTCCCCGCCCGGATCCCCCTTTTCCCCAGAATGCCTGAAATCCCCCTTTTCCTGGTCCCCCTTTCCCCACTCTCCCTTTCCCCAGAATGGCCAAAATCCGCTTTTTCCCACTCCCCCTTTTCCCACTCCACTTTTCCCAGAATGTCTAAAATCCTCCTTTTCCCCAGGATGGCTGAAATCCCCC